CCATTCGGTGAAGATAAACCAGATCCTTGCTTGCGGAAGCTATACTTACAGTCTTGTTCGCTGTGGGTGCTGGGGTGTGTCACAGAGATGGGTTTGGCGCGGCGCCAGCTTGTTTATCACCAAATGCTGAAACGAACAAGCGATCGAAATTGGTCTAAAATGGGATGGCGAATTTTCATAGAAGGGACGGGCGCTATAAGGGGGGGGGGGTAGTGTTTGCTTTCTGAGAGAAATTTGTGACTTTGGGAAAATTTTTTTTCTGGTTGCTGACTGGGAAAATTTTTTTCCTGGTTGCTGACCTTTCGCGGTTTTTTGTGTTTCACACCTGCTATCCTCCCCCCTCCCCTCTCCATACTCCCCCTCCCACTTGAGAGCTTTAGATTGTATCAGTGTCAGTCAGAGGAGGGAACCAGGGGGGGGGTAAGTACACATTCAGCCAACATCTCAAACCCTTGATGCGTCCTGTTGGAGAAAGGCGAGGGCTTGCGGCGCACATGCTTATGAGAAACTGTTTATGGGTAACGAGTGCTGATAACTTTTCATGTCGTACTTCCACAGCTTTACGATGCACTTGTACCAATTCTATCGGAAAACCAATATGCTGTCTTAATTCGTTCATATTTTTTACTGCCGCTATCGCTCAGAGAACGGTGCTATTTGGAAATTATCTAATATTGTGAAATTCTCATTTTTCTAGATAGTTTGCTAGATTAACTTGTTCAACATTCCAGTGTTCTAGAATCCCCAAGAGATTTTTTTTAGTTGATTAAAGAGATGAGTTCAGGCCTCATTTGCCGCACTATCGTCAAAAGAATGGATAACTGTAGTAATGCTAGCGTTAGCAAACCTTTGCTCAACAGTAGCCTTCAGCTGCATCGCTCCTTTTTACCCTGACGAGGTAATTTTCAGCTATTTTCCTAAACACTTCATTATTCTCTATTGTTCTGCGCGAGCGCAGCAGGATGGGACGAGTGTGCGTCTGATTAAGGATAGCCAAGTATGTCTAAGGCTGCATTCATATTTTGCGGCAGTTACCGGCGTCTACTAGCGTTCCGAGCGTCCGGCAGCGTTACGAAGAATAGATATCGATCTAGCGTCTGCCAGCGTCTGTTAGCGTCCACCAGGACCGAGAGGAGAGTATGAGGAAGTAGTAGCGATTAAGCGTCGTGAAATCGCGGCGTGTGCAACCGCACCGTACAGCTACATTACCACCGTACATTACATTGCATAATTCTGTGTTCTAATAGTTATTCGGTGCAGCTGCCCACGCCGTAATTCCACGACGCCCAATCCAACTGTCTGCTACCATCCTACTTCCCCACACGCCCTCTCTCGGTCGCTGGTGAACGCTGGTGGACGCTGGTAGCCGCTAGCAGACGCTGGCACATACTATATACATAACTATGCT